AAAAAAACCCAAAAAAAGCAGACACCTCATTAGTCTTGCTCCCAACTATGACGCTTCCCCGAGAGCCAGGTGCATCGATATAGCTCGCAGATGCCTGGAGGCTGAAGAAAGCTTGGGCTTGGCCTAGGATGGTCCCCATCCGTATGGGAGCTGAGAATGCGTGCTAATTCCTCAGGCCTAGGGAACCTATTTTAGAGCCTAACATTCCTCCAAAACTCTGCTCCTAAATCTGGCAGCTCCTGGGGCTAGCCTAAAATGAGTTGTGTCCCCCAATTCCTCCCAGAAAAGAATGTAAAACATCCATTTAAGAGCTGTTGTCTATTGAGTACACATTGGAGTACTTTTGGATGTACTAAGTTAAATGGGAAATAATATCAAAAGTCATGTCATCAGTTTTTCTTGTTTAATATTACTTTTAATAAGAAATTTTTAATTCTACGTGTGTCTGGCCTAATATTTCTAATGGAGAAGGTTGTTTCAAAACACAGCCAACTTTCCTACCCTGCCCATCGGCTACACAGGGTGAAAACAAAGAAACTGTCCAGGATGTGCTCTTTGCCTAAAGTCAGTTGTGAGCCCTCAGAAACTTCATTACGTGTCTCCCCCTCCTCTGCAGACTGTTCAATTGTGTGCCTCACCAACAGAGTGACACCAAGGCCACTTGGCCTCTTCCCTTAAAACCCCTTAAGTCACCCCAAGGTCTGTTGACTTTGGATAGGGTTGACAAGCCTGTAGGATTTTCTACTGCGCCCCTATTGTTTCAACTCCTGTACACTACAAAGAATTCCTCTGCTTCTCAGATTCCTACAATCCAGAATCAGGTTGGCAAAGGCCACCACTGCTGGTCACATGTGACAAGGACAGCACTGTCCTCGGAACCACATTCTCATGGTCTGTGAGACTGGCTGTGATTTCTCCTTCTCCAGCCATCCACAAATTCATTCAGTAACCTTCACCTTTCATAAAAAAATTTAATAACTACAATTATAGAGTAGACAGTCAGATGGAAGAAAGGAAAGTGATGCTGTCCAACAAAGTGCTTTCAGAAGAAATTTAATGTCTTGATTATTTAAAGATGTAGTTGTGGAACTCATCAAGAATCTTGGGGATTTCAGTGCCAAAGTTTGGTTAGGAGCCCTGGATCAGTGTAGGTCAAAGTTCACCTGCTCACCTCCAGGTTAGCGATATGAACCTACCAGCTGCTATGGGGGGGATGAGGTGCTGCCTCCTTCCATAAACACTGGCCGCTCCCAAAACCTTCCGAGGCAGTCCTGCTCAGTCAGACAGGTTGCTGTGAGTGGGCCTTGAGGAGGTGGCAGTGGTAGCTTTAAAAGGTTGGCTTAGCAGATAGTTTGCGCGCCTAAGCACAGCTCTGGGTTCCCCTTGTTGTCAATGGAAGGTGTCATTCAGTTGGCTGTGACTCACAGAGACCAGACAGGAACGCTGCTTGATCCCACTTCACCATCATCATCACCACCATCTCCACCGCGCTGACCATGTCACTTTGCCAGTGCATCTCATCAAGCATGTTCTTTTCCTTCACAAACATGATGGTTCTTATTCCCAAAACATGATGGCCCTTTTCCAGGACTGAGTGGCATCACACTTCAAAGGCATCAGTTCTTCTTTGGCTTTCCTCATTCATTGTCCAACTCTCACATGCATATGAAGCAAATAAAAATATCGCAGCTTGGACCAGGTCCAACTTCATCCTTAAACTGGCATCCCTGCTTCTACGCACCTTAAAGAGATCAACATAGCTGATCAGTGCAATACTTCTTTTGATTTACCGACTGCTGCTTCCATGAGTGTTGATTGTGGATGGACAACTTCAAATTTCTTCTCCTTTAATCACGATGTTGCTTCTTGGTCTGGTGAGGATTTTTGTTTTCTTTACGTTGAGGTGTTAACCCATTCTGAAGGCTGTAGTCTCTGATCCTTTTCTGTAAGTACTTCAAGTTCTCTTCACTTTCAACAAGCATGGCAGTGCCCTGTAAGTTCAGAACTTTAAATGTGGTTCCAAGGCCACCACCAGTAGCACCACCAGGGAACTTTTTTGTTTGTTTTTGTTTTTACATTTTCTATTAAACAAGAAAATTTTAGTTCCATTTGCTCACTTACTGTTTGTTTTCCTTTTTAAATTTTTTTTATTTTAATTGAGAGTTTTGTTCCCACTACTGTCTGAAATGTCTATAACCTTGCCCTGTAGATGCAAGGCCTCAAACAATTTCAATGCTGTGCTCACAAGCTCTGCAGTTATTTGAGATTTTTAATGAAAATTTATGGAGAACTTGGATTCCCATCCAGTCATTGTTGCACATTTTCTTCCATACCCACCCCAACCCCTCAGCTTGCTTTTCTCCAGGGAACTTTTTAGAAAAGCAAAATTCAGGACCTACTCTAGAAATGCTGACTCAGAAATTTTGATCATTAGCCCCAGCAAGTGGCATTTGTTAACAAGTCCTCCAAGAGAACCTGACACACACAAAGATTTGAGACCCAGTAGCCGACACTGTTAGACCAGTGGCTTCCTGCCGAGTCAGAATGCACCTCAACAAACGGAATGTACCCAACCTTAGACACTAAGGAGGATCTGGAGCCCCTACTTGACCATTCATTTCTGTAGCCAGGCAAGTAGCATATATTAATTTTCATATGCCCTGGGGAAATTAGCTATCAAGGACCTCTTTAAAGTACTAAAGAGCAAAAATGTCAGTTTACAAACTCAAGTGTGCCTGACCACAGTAGTTTCAATTGCCTCAACAGAAGAATGGACGCGTTTGAGTTGTAGTGCTGGTGAACAGTACTGAGTATCTAGTGGACTACCCAAAACACAAACCATCTCTCTTGGAAGAAGTGCCACCAGAGTGCTCCTTAAGAGACGGGGATGGGGAGACTTGGGCTCGTATACTTTGGGAGAGGCCAGTCCTTGGAAAAAGACATCATGCATGGAAAACGAGGTCAGTGAAAGAAAGGAAGACCCTCAATGACATGGACTGGCACGATGAGGGCAATGATGGGCTCGAGCCTGGTGGAGACTGGGAAGGTGGTGCGGGCACTCTCTAGCCATGAAGGAGCACCCTCACATACTTTCCAAACTAACTGCTGCGTCAAGCAAAAGGTACTTTCTGGATATTATTCTGCCTTTAGGAGGACATTTAAGTGTATCCTTGCCCTTACACTAATTATAATTCTCTATTCGATTTTGTTTGGCTTTATGAAGTAGATTGGCAGCCTGTCATATGAAAATCTGGGACTGAATGAAAGAAAAGAAAAATGCTGGAAGGAACCTGAAGTTATTATTTCAGGGAGCTGATACAATGAGCTACATGCAGAATGACCCAGCTGTAGGGCTGCCAGGCTTAGCACATACAAAAACAGGATACTCAGTTCAATTTGAATTTCAGAAAAACAACTCATTATTTGATGGGTCATACCAAGAAATTGTTTATCGGAAGTGGATATTGAATTGGGCATCCAATATTTGCTCTGGCAATTCTAGAACTTGGAAAATGAACATTTGAGAAGGCTCTTAGGAGACAGCTGGCCTTAAATACTTAAAAGGCTGTGTGTGCTGTGTGTGTGAGCTTTGAACAGGAGATCTGGGAGATGCCGCACAGTGTAAGTCAATGTTATTGTGTACCATTGGATCCATAGCTGATCCTCCAGCAGGTTTTCAGAGTCAGTTAATCATGTGGGGGGAGATGGCCCATCCTTCTCCTGTGGCACAGTGGTGGGTTCGAATCACATGCTTTTGGGATTGCAGCACAGCTTCTTGTCACTAGGCCACCAGAGCTCCCTACTTAAAAGGCTATTACGAGAAAACTGGATGGAATTCATTGCTGTCCATGTAACCCGAATCCCAAGTCCACTGTCAGTAAGCTGGTTCTAACTCATAGTGACTCTCTATTAGGTTTCAGAGGCTGCCAATCAGTCAGAGACTGCCATTCTTTGCAGCAAACTGGAGGACTGAACTGCTCACCTTTCAGGCCAGCAGCCTAACTTGTTGCACACTAGGTACCTTAATAGCGATATACACCCAGAGTACAGAACATGGATACAAATAACAGGAAGAGAGTACTTGGTCAATTAAAAAAAGAATAACAAAAAACCACCATCACCACCAAACAAAAAACCAATGCTCATTGCCACCAAGTCAGTTCTGACTCAGCGCTGAGTTTCCTAGGCTCTAGACTGCTTGGCAGGAGATGGTCCATCTAGCTCTCTCAGAGGTACCGGTAGATTTGAACCACCAAAGTACAGCCTTTCAGTTAGCAGCGCAACTCACTTGATATTATGTCACCAGAGCTCCCTTTTGGATCAATGGAAGCCATAAAAATAGATAAAAGTTTGTGTTACCCCAAGCCTTGCTTTGGTCTTGTCACAGACAAGGAATTCCCTCTCTAGAGTTGTTCAGGCAGCGATGTACTGAGGGCGCCTGCGGGGAGGTTGAGTCAGTGAGGCTGGCTGAGTGGTCAGGCTCAAAGACATATGCAGCCTCTCTGACCTGAAGGAGACCTTTCAAAGTCTAAATTGATTTAACTGTCATGCCCTACAATTTTTCTGCCTCCTAAACGATTTACTTCCTAAACAACATGCTTCCAGAAACTCTATGAACTTTGATAAATGTTGATAGTTGCAGAAGGGCTTCAGGCCTTTTGTTCATAGGGTCACTATGAGTCACGTTTTACTCAAAGGCAATCAACAACAACAACAACAACAAACTATAAAAAGTTTTCTGGGTCTGTATGGATAAACTCTAGCTCTACATACAGATAAATGAAACATGTCAGGAAAGAACTGTGTTCCACACAGGGAGAAATTCAAGGCCTGAGTGAACTTGTATCAGTTCTACCAGTAGGGTTCTAGCTAACTACACTGTGTGCACTCTTACTCAAGTGTCATAAAAAGATATCGAGATTATGTTTGGATTACAGTGCATTTCAATTCCGAGTCTAGAATTGCTTTAAAATATAAAATGGATAAAAATGAAAGCTTACTCTTCGTCCTGCTGTCCATTTCTGTTTTTGATGATTCTTGAGTTGCTGTGGTTGGAGGTAACTTCTTCCCAATAGTCTGTGTGGAGGGAAAAGAAATTGTTTTACTTATCAAGATAGTTCTCACCACTAAGTCAATTATAAAACCAAGATCATAAAGACAAAATGCTTAAAACAGGTTCTGAAATCCAGCCATTTGTCATTATTCTGTGTACTGGCGTTAACCTCAATAAGTAGGAAGATTCAGGTTAAAAAAAAAACAAGCTTTTTCTTATTAGCACTCAGTGCCATTGATTCATATTCTTCTTTGATGTTCTTACTAAAAGGTTTGCTAGTTTTTAGGCAAGAAAATTGACATGCTTCCCCCATTTTGGGAGAAGCTAACTTAGGCAGGCGTAGAGCGTGGCCCACAGGAAGGGCTCCAAAGTGGCTACAGGGGAAAGGGTGACCAGAAGAAGCCAGGAACAGAAGACAGAAAGGATGGAAAGTAGAGATGAAAAGATGGAGGGCCAGCATGGCAGGTGGGCAGGGAGAAGGCAGGCAGGAGTCAAGGCATGAGGGGAACTGCGTCAGACTGAACTAGGATTCAGCCCAACCTGTAGCTCAGGAGAAATCCTACTTCTGGGCCTCCAGGCCAACCCCATTTCCCAGAAGATGAAAATAAACCGGCCTGGCAGCTCCCTTTCCACCAGTCTTTTAACCCCCATGGCTTTAGAAATGTCCAATTCTCTAGACCCTCTTCACTGTTTGTACAAGGGGTGGGGGGAAGAAAGAATACAGGAGTTTGCTTCTGAGTTTCTTCTCTGAGCTTCATATGAAGCTAATCCGTGATTCAGGAACCATGCATTGAAATGGTAGGGTGTTTTCTCTACCCAGGGATGTTTCCGAAAATGCAGGCAGCTTGAAGCAGCTGTCACTACGATGGTAGTTCCAAAGGTGAGGTCCATTCCTACTCCTCACTCCCCTTTACCACTACACCTGTGTAATTAATCATGCCTAATGCCTGAGGAAAATGTCTATTGATACCAGAGATCTCAAAACCACATGCAGTGGCGTCAGTGAGCCCACCCAACGATGCGGGATTCACCAATGAGAACTCAAGCCCTTAAGAAAACCAGACTCGTCTGCTCAAAATGCATAACAAAGGATGAAACAGAATGCAAACTATGGCAGAAGTGGCCTGTATAGTTTTTAATATGAAGAAGTTTCTCATGTTTCAACTGTGAAAACTAACATTAAATATGAATAAATCACAGAAAGAGGGTAAGATAAATCACCTCCTTAGCCCCTCATGAATTTTTAAGACATTTGTGACAGAATGCCTTTACATTTTACATGGTGACATTTTTATTTAGTGCCGGAGGGCTTTCTATATTGGATAAAAAAAATGAAACCCCAAATAACATTCTATCCTTCACTGCTGCTAAGTACTCAAACTAATAACATTTTATGATTCCAAAGAAATATCAGGAAGGGGACAAAGCTTGATATTATTCTGCCATAAGGTCAAATTTGATGAAAAGCGATTCTGAGGATTATCTGGGAAAAATCAGACACTGACATTAAAAATAGAAGCTCTCAAAGTATCATTCCCATCCATTCTTGCACTTCTAACAGCCAGTCCTGTCAATCTTATTCTCTTTCTTCCCTTTCGGAGATCAGAATAAAGCATCACATTAGGAAGAAGACACGAGGCCATCACGTACGTGGCGGTTACTGATGGTGCAGAGGAGCCATCAGGAAACGCAGTGGTGAACACTGTTCCCAAGCCATCCTATGCTCAACTTGCTCCAATGGTTCGAACCTTCTTTTAGAGAAACCTCGGCAGGTTGTATCTTCTTACATGTTGCCCTTATGGAGTAACTAAAGAAAGTACTGTCCGCCATCTCTGAGGCCCAAGCTCAACTAGTGCATTCAAGACGACAAACTACAAGAAACATCTTCACAAACAGAAAAGATAGTACAACATGGGTGAGCCTTGAAACCTGTATGCTACATGAAATAAATCGTTATAAAAGGATAAACAGATTATGATCACACTTATGCAAAACACGTAGAATAGGTAAATATAAAGCAACCAGTGGTTTCCAAGGGCAGGTGGGAGGAACAGAGGGAGGACGAGTGGGTGAAAGGTGGCACGACTGCTTAGGGGGCACTGGGTTTCTGCAAAGGATGGTGGAATAATTCGGGAATGGAGGGTGGTGATGGCTGTACATGACAAATATTAATATAACTGAATTATGCACATATGAATGTTTAAATGGCCAATGTTTGGTGATATTCTTTTTACCCCAATAAAATAAAAAGAGAATGTCACCTGTCAAATGTACTTATTTCTATATAGGAAGACGTGAAAAGAAAAAAATCAAAGCTTCATCTGTTCTTTTCCCCCCTCTCCATTTTCCAAAATGCATCACCCAGGCTTCTGTGTGGATCCCCGCAACAGGAGTGATGGTGAAGCTGGCATCACAACCATGTTCTGGGGAGTGCTACTTTCCTCCCCCAAGTGGGCCATGATTAAAATAATGGTGGAAGTAAAAAAACAGCACGCTAAATAAAAGAATCCAGACCCAAAAGCCCACATCGCACAATTAATTCCATTTAAAGGAAATGTCTGTAACAGTCAAACCCATAGAAAAAGAGCGCAAAGCCAGGGGATCATGGGAGTAATTTTTTAACGGGTACAGGGCTTCCTTTGGGGAGATGACACTAGATAGCTTTGGAACTCGATAGAAGCGATGGGCGCACAACACTGTGAACGTACCACATGACACTTACCGACGTGGTCACTTTCAACCAGCTAATTGTAATACTGTATGAATTTTATTTATTTTAAAAGGACGACTGGAGAGCTGCTGTTTCTCCCCTTCGAGCCTCGCCCTCCTTCTGCTCCAGAACAATTTGTTCCAGTGTTTCTGTCTTATCCAGACCCAGACCTAGAGCCGTGTACTGCCTGGGCCAGTAGCACCAGTAGTACCTGTAACACCTCGAAACGTCTTAGCAATGCAAATTCCCAGGCCCCACCCCAGACACTGGGAGGAAGGTGCCCAGCAGTGTTTGTTTGAACACATCCTGTCTGAATGGAGGCATGCTGCCTGGAGAAGCACTGATCCAGATCACTCTAATTACTGGTTCCCAGATTAAAAATTTGGGCGCCTACTCTCATTCCTCTATCATCAAGATGATACGGACTCCTAATGAGTCTCCTTGGGATTATGAGGAGGAGTCTGTCCATCTTTCTCTGAGGTGTGGCTAGTGGATTAGAACCACTGACCTTTCACTTAGCAGCCTGATAACATTAGGCACTACGCCACCAGGGCTCCTAGCTAGATACCACATTTTTGCCTTCTTGCTCTTTTCTTCCCTTTTTCTACTCTTACTGGTGTAGAAACAGGTCAATGCTCCTCCATTTCAATTGAAAGAAACTATAATTTCCTATAAAACAAAATTTCTCACTACTATCCCAGCAGGCAACATCATAATGGAGATAGAAAAAAACTAAGGTTGTGAACACTTGATCTTGAATCTACAATCAACATTCTTAGTACCAGATGTCAAGAAATCAAGACATATTATACTGGGACAGGCTGTTGTCAGGGACTTCTCCAAAGTCCTGAAGAGCAACAATGTCACTTTAAAGACTAAGGAACACCTGATTCAAGTCATGGTATTTCCAGTTACCTGTTATGTATCTGAGGCTGGACCATGAATAAGGATGACAGAAGAAGAATCGATGTCTTTGAGTTGTGGTGTTAAAGCAGAGTGTAGAATGTCTCAAAGACTGCCAAAGAATAGTTATGTTTTAGAGAACATGTAAAGAGAGTGCAGAGGCAGGGCTATGTCTTACATACTTGCAGCACATTGTTAGGAGAGGGTATTTCTTAGAGGCTTCATGGTCAGCAAAAGAGAGGAAGACTCTCAAGTGGGTCAGATGATGAGGCTGGTGCACAATAGGGCAGGGTTCAGCTCCACTGTGCAGAGGGTCCCTTTGAATTGTACTCGACTCAACAGCATCTAACAACACAGCATCACCATCCTGAAGCAGACGGAGTGGCAACACTGCTGAGGGGGGAAAGGAATCATTGTCCTCCCAGCAGACTGTCAGCTCCTTCTACCCTCAAACACATCTTTGATCCACTGGCTTTAAAATGAACAGATGACAACATTAAAAAAGTCGACCTCCAGAAAGCAAGGTACATACACAGTACACGCACATGGTCACCTAGGTCAAGCATAAATGGATGTCAGCTCCAGCGCTGGCCAAAGTGGCCAGAAAAGCCAAGGCACAGCCATACACCTTCCCATCCATGTGGCAGGCACCGAAGATGACAACGGGATTCCTGTGGCTGTGGAGGGAGATTCAGGATCTCCATTCTGGGCAGAGGGCTGCGTTCGCACGCTCCTGCACGCCCAATGCAAGGTGACTGACCAAGGACAAGCACAAGCCACGCCTTGTGGGCTGTGTTGATGCTGCATGCCATCCTGTAAGAGATCTGTAAACAGTACCATTTCCCAGACACTTCTGGAGGAACACACTCGGGCGCCTCCCTCAGCTTGACCCAGCACTCCCCCGCCTGTGCACAGCGCCTAAAGGGCTCCTCATTCACACATTCACATCTGTCTGGTCGGTTTGGCCCATGGCTCATGAACACGCACCCCTAGATGGGAGCAGGCTGCTGCAAGCAACCCCCGTCAGCACACAGTGCTGCTGTCAAGCTGCGTCTCTCCTACCACATCCCAAATTCCACTCAAAATATGACCCTTTTTATACATCTTTAAGGAAATGCATTACTTTGAAAATTTACTAACAAAAATGCATTTTCCTTTAGCTTTTGCAAAAAGCAGTCAATGACCTTTTCCGGAGTTTTGTGTTCACTGGAAGTATCGCATCCACTCCTAGCTCTATGAGTGCCAGAACTAGATTCAATATTGATACAACTGTTAATATTGATACAGTCACTGTATGATTCCAGTAAGTGGAACCAGGAGGTTTGCTTTCTCTCCTTCTGTGCCAAAATGAAAAACCAATGCTCTAGGTAAGAAAAATCACTGAATTAGAGACAAGGACGCTGAAGCTCC